CAGGTCACCCTGATCTTCGTCAGCAGCGACTTAACAACTGCCTCGTGGCCACCCTTCACTGCATAATCAAGAGGTGTCGCCCTGTAGTTAGAACATTCGCGGTCTGCATCGACGGTGTTCATAGCAAGCAGTAGCCTGACCACCGCCTCGTGGCCATTTTCTGCCGCCAATGACAACGGCGTCCGAGCTTCGTTGTCCGCCAAGTCTGCAAGAGTCCCTTGCTTCTCAAGGAGGAGTTTGACAACCGCAGTGTGCCCTTTTCCTGCAGCATAACATAAAGGAGTGCTTCCACCCCGGTCAGTTGAGTTAGGATCAACGTCGTCTCTAGACAGAAGGAGCCTAACCACTTCTGGGTGCCCATTTTGTGCTGCAAAGGACAACGGCGTCTGACTATTGGCATGTAAACGATCTGCAAGAATACCTTGATTGCCAAGCAAGAGTTTGACAACATCGGGATGCCCATTCTTTGCGGCCCAAGAGAGCGGGGTCGCACCGGTCATTCCGTCAGTAGAGTTAGGGTCGACATCTTTCCTGGCAATAAGTAGCTTGACAACCTCTTCGTGCCCGTGTCTTGCTGCGTATGACAATGGAGTCCAGTCATATACAGCCTTGGAATCTGCCGGATGACCTTTCTCCAGAAAAGCCAATACTGTGATAGGTAGTCCAAAATATGCTGCAGTATGTACTTCGGTTGCTATTGCCTTAATATATCCCCATGTTCCGTGATTGAAAGCCATGATTTCCTGGACTGAGGTAAGTGGTTCAGCTGGAACTTCCAGGAAATCTATAATCACCTGCTCCCCATCCATAGACGCCATGAGAGCATGATGCCCCCAATTCTGGGAGGCATAGCCATAAAATGGATTGCTCATCAGACGGTTCTTATATTGCTTTTCACTTCTACAAAAGCCGCCCTTGAACACGTCGAATGAGAGGTATCTGATACAGGCCATTGTGATTTCCGACTCTGCAATCGGAAACCACTGGTCACGACTCCGCTCAAGGTATTCCTGTGTTGTATAGTGAACTAGTCGGATGACACCGCTATTATCGTCAACTGTGACCAGACCAGAACACACTGAGACCATATCGTCGATTTGGGGGATGTTTTCTTTATTAAGTTCGAGATCATTTTCTTCGACTGCTAGCGCATGCTGAAGTTCTGAAGTTTTGAGAACTCTTCTAGCGCAAGTTATCCATGCAAGAACTTGCATGGCTAGCTCCTTAGAATCTTGGTCCTGGCCAGCTATCCTCTCCATGGCTTTCTTGTAAGCAATATCGTACGCTTTAGACCCACATGAAAGGCTGTTCAATGCATCCTTGATCTTCTTAAGAGTCTTCTTTGTGGACACAGATTGCAAATGAAGTTGCGCCAGGAGGAACCTGCATAAGTGTTATTTCTCAACTATATATTGCGATTGACTTGGACCTACATTCCGTCAACTGTCTTGGCAATTTCAGACTTGATCATCTCACGATGTGATTGCAAAAGCTGCCCTGATTGCGAGATCTTGCTGTCTAAGAACCTTCGCACGTCCTCATCTTGGGCGCGAATATTAATCGTTTTACTTCCTCCAAATTTCTCCATAATCTCCGGAATAAATCTCGATGTAGCAAAGAATTTAGCACTACCTTGGGCCTGGAGCTTGAAGATCTCTTCCAGGAACCTATTTCGGCAACCATCTATCGCATTGAGCTCATCAAGTGCGTCGACGATGATGTGAACCCGTGTGAATAGCGCAACAACAGACTGAAGAGTCGTTGAGATTTCCTCGCTGGAGGGCCGCGTCTTCCCGACGTTGTGCTTGTCGTAGAGGACTTTTAGGCTTGCTGGCATAGAATACTGTCCTTGAAGTAACTGCTTTAGTAGGCTTTCGAGCAGATGATTAAGCTTCTGTTCGTCACGCTGCCGGTAATTACCATAGATGAATGCGATCCCGACGGTGTCATCATCCCCAAAGCGGGTCATGAGTTCATTTATCACGATGGATGTGAGGATTGTTTTACCTGCTCCAGGAACGCCGGGACAAAATAGAGTCTTCCCAGTGTTGATCCAGTCATGGAATTCTTTGGAGTTCAGAAGCCACTCGCCAGTGCCCTCTTGTCGTTGGCTAAAATTGTCGCTCTGCCGAGGTCCATAGTTGACAGGTGTGAGCCACTCGAGGATCTCAACGTCCTCTTTTCTATCCATCTTACGCTTCACTTCTCGAATGTTCGCATCGGACCGTGTAACAGTTTCATGAACTAAGAAAAAATTCAGTAGGTTGCTATTGTACATTGAACCTTGTTTTACTCACTTTGGCTTAAAACTTCCTTTGCCGTAGGCTCCCTCTCAACATCGCTTGCCTGCACTTGGCCCAGCAATTCCTTCGCAAAGGCAGCTGCCACAGCGGCTGCATGGGCTTGCCACGCATTATTCTTATGCGAATCAGCATAATCGCAAATGCCCCGGATGGTGATGCAGGGGAAGTTATGCGCCAGCCCCGCCGCTTCCATCTCAACACACAGCGCCTGACCACCCAGATCCCTATTGAGCTTGTCACGGAAGATGGAATCCTTGATTACTTCGTTTCCAGATGCGATAAGCCCGTAATGCACTCGCATCTGTCTAGGCTTCCTCTTCACCGTTTGGCTCTTCTCGCAGAAACCACAGTCGTCTTCTGCGTCACTCTCCTCAGCTTCCTGATCATTAACCCGGATGACTGTTCCATCCGCTGTTCCTTCCGCAACATTCTTACTGATATGGGCATATTCAGTCTTGAACAGTTGATCTTTGAGCGAATCAGACTTGAGGTACTTGTGTGCCAATCTTGGCCACTTCTGCTCCAGTTCCTTCAAGTAGTCGGGTATTCGAGAGCCAGTCAGATCATGCTCTGACTCTACCATTGTCAAAGCTGCCAGTAAGGAATTTGGCGGACTATTCAATGACCCCGTCCTCTCGAATGTGCCTCCTTGATGTGCCTTTCCCAAGTCGTATTGGACCACACCTGGAAACGCCCCAACAGGAGTGCTAACCACGACGTCACCCAGACGAACCTTGGGCGGAATGCCACCTCCGATACCAACCATTAGACAAAACCTAATGTTCGGAAAGGTTGAGACCATATTAGTGGCAACTGTCGCTGCTGAGACATTGCCGATTTTGCCCTTAGGCAGACAGGCGATAACGACACTATGGTTGCCCACAGATCCAAGTGTATATGTGTTGTTGTCGTTCGGCGGCTTCGGGAGACTTGTATGCCTCTGGTCCAGCATAGCTATCGCCGCCGTCTGTTCGGTGGGCAGGGCGCAGACCCATCCAACATGGTAGTCATTGTGAGACCGAGGTTCAGTTCCCGATGCCATTGTTACAGACTAGGACAGGATCTGTGTTCCAGTAGAGACTCACAGTAAGTTATATCAAACAGCTAGTTCCCCGTCATTTACCACGTTCGATGGAAATTATTTATGCCGTTTTGTATTTGGGGCTAGGAGACGGTGAGACCTCTTGGGTAGAGGCAAATGAACTGCTGATCTCAGTGTTCGGCGAAAGCAAATCGACAAGGACTTGATAAATATTTCAGGGTCGCCTTTGCCCATTTGCTTATCTTTCGGGGTGAAAGGCGCCAAAAGTTGGTCGACATATGTGAGAGGAATGCGTGAAGGTTGAGAGTGTTTCGTGGAAGTGGAAGGGAGGATACCTCCTCACTTCGAGGCCTTGGGGCGGTGACAGGCGCCTACTAGGCATCAATGTTTCAGCCTTGAAATTGAGTCATATTTCTTGACCGCCGGGAAGAGCTGCAGCTTATTGGTGCTGTAAGCGCCGTGGCGCTGGAAGATCAGGCTGCGAAGGTGACGGTATAACGCAACTTTGCATATCACGTGGTATAAATGCCTGGGCTGGTCATATCTTGCAACTTTTGAGCTTCATAGAGATAAAACAACCGCCGCATGATTGTTCGCGGGCGAAAATGGGGTGGAGAGAATGGGAGAGATGTGGGATAAGAAGGAATGGCCGGAATAGTATGATGGGCTGGCCGTGAGATTCGCAATAGTTAACAATGTGTGCGAGCCTATTCACCTACCGATACTCAAAACTAAGTAGTCTTATGACTATTGGGCAACTAAATAAACAGCTTGGTTCCAGAAAATCCCTCCATCCTCAAGCCCCTTTGCCCTTGATAGACATAATTACATCACATCACGATACACATAAGGCCACCCATAACTACAAGAGATAATCAGCATTAACCAAATTCCAAACCATTCGCGAACTTACCGCCAGCAACTGCACTTGCAGCAATTCCGTTCATAACACCACCAACAATCTCCTTCGTGTACCCCTGAATCCTCTTGTTGTCCCTACGGCTCTTCTCAGCAGCCTTTTGTGCCTTGATAAGAGCCTTACGATGTGTTTCAGTACGACGTGCAACAAGTTGTTGTTGCTGTGGGTTGTTTTGCAGGCGGGCTACCTCCTTTTGAAGCGCATCACAAGACTCTTGCACGTCTTGCAACATCATGTCCTTACTTTGAACTTCAGCTTCAAATTGGGTTTGAAGGGTAAGAAGCCGCTGTATCAGCGCCTTTTTCTCGGTTTGATGTAGATCTAGCATGGTCTTGACCAATACCTGTCGACCCTGCTCAGTCTGTTGGATCTCTTTATCCACTTCGGCCTTCAGCTCTTGTAGTTGAAGAAAATACTCCTTATCCAAATCCGGGGGTGTTCTTTCTAGCTCAGCATCGAGTTGGATGAGCTGGTTGTCCTGTTCCAGGCGAACTTTGAATAGGTACTCGGCGGCCTCTATTCCTGCCGCTGTCTCCCCCAGATTCTTTTTCTCATCGACGACCTCTCGTTGTAATTGAAGCACGCGCGGGGAATGGCCCCTAAGTTGTTGTACCAGGGTATCCACGACCCGCCGTCCTGAGCCTCCTCTACTATAGCCTATTTCGTAGTGTCGAAACGCCGTGGCTCCTTTAGCGACAAAATCACCGAAAAAGTCTTGATTTGACAACAACTCATGTTACCGCTCTTCAAGAATATCCTTTGCAACAGAATTTGGGGACTCGGGCCACATCGTGGTAACGACGGCGAGACTATTATAGGAAGCGAATCCCGAAATGGCTTTCAAGATTTTTAAGCTCCTTAGGTTTGAGCCGGCCATTCGGTTATTGGTAATAGGATATAGCATAATAACACCACTGACTCGCACACCATTGGCATACGACGCACCTAGATAAGTTGCTAATATCTCTAGCGTATCAATATCAGAGCGAGTTGTGTCGTTAAACCCCGGAGTATCTACAAGAAAGATGCGTTGACCATGTCTAGTATACTGGAAAACACCCATTGAGTTAGTACCTATTAATTAGTTAAGATATTCTGTTGTATGTAAATGTTGACTTGCTGAGTCATAAGCTTGGGATGGAAGCTGTATTAATACTCACATGAATAGAGTCCATGGCCTACATTGACGGCATGACCTGTGCAGTTGGAGACGAATGTACTCTTTCCAGCTCCAGTCAGGCCCATCACAAGGAAGAACATGTCTCCCGGCTCCGACTTGTTGAGACCAAGAAATGTCTTGAAGCATTCAGCTTGATCGAGCAATGCGTCATCACCCATGCTGAGGGTACCCATGTCCAGTAACCCTATGGTAAAAGGAACCTAGAGGAGGAAACATCTATTGAGGGAACGGGATACGCAAGATGTTGGCCTAGATGAAGGTCGAACTGACCTCAGTCATGGCACAGCCTGATTAAGAACGCCTCGAAAGTGCCTCACTAATGAGTCAATCTTTGAGGGGGTTTGCCAATGGCTGTGCAGTAGCCACCTGGCCCACAAAGATAATGTGCAGTATGTGATTGTGTGATTCAACCAAGGAAGTGTGCATATGCACGTCGGTCACAAGCCCGAGAATGGTTAGCTGGTACTTGGCAATTTTCTGCCGTGAAGGTGAAATTAATCGCAATGCTTGCGAAAAAAAGAAGAGAAAAGAAAAATAGAATAGTAAGTATTCTCTGAGTCTAAAGAAGTTATTTGACTGCCTTCCTCGTACTTGCATTGTTAAACGCAGCTATACAGATCTTGTGAAGCCTTTCCGCGCTCGGCAACCAAGGAAAGCTGGCTGCATATTGGCTGCAGGGAAACCCAATGCTGACATGGCGCAGCCTATGTGACCCTCTTCTTGGCAGTTGACTACCCGATGGCCGTGTGGCTAAGCCATATGAACAAAGATCTCCCGCAGTTAGTTTCATGCCATGCTCCGTTAAACAGGCCTCAGCCATCGCGACAGGCAAACATCTTGTTCAGTCCATAAGCTTGCAGCGCAAAGTTATCCTCAACAGATTGCGAAGGCTGGCACTAATTCCCCAGAGACTTTACAGAGCACAGATAGCCGCCTGACATGACAAGCCCGAACAAAACATCCAGTCCAGTGGCAGCAGGGTCGTTGGACCCTGTTCCCAAGAGCTTTCGTAGCGGACATGCCCCTCGGTGAGCAAGTCATCTGTGAATACCACCAAAATTGCGTTGCTAATTATTAAAGACCAAATGATGCCTTTATCGCCCTGATGGGTATAACTGGCTCAGGAAAGAGCTCATTTATATCGAAATGCACCGACAAGTCTGCTACAATCGGCCACGACATGGTATCATGTTTGTTAACAAAGAACCTTCTCTCCCAACGAATTCGGACTCATGTATAGTAGGCACGTCTTTCGTCGATGTCTATCCATACGAGGTTACATCCGACTTTACTGTATATCTCATTGACACGCCCGGATTCGATGACACTGGGAGAAGTGATACCGAAGTCCTCAGCGAGATTGCTGCTTGGCTCACAGACTCTTACAAGCACAAGATTCGTCTTCACGGCATAATCTATCTCCACCGAATATCCGATGTTCGAATGCAAGGCTCAGCTAAGAAGAACTTAGTCACATTCAAAGAGCTATGCGGTGAAGATGCGCTGAAAAAGGTGGTCTTGGCGAGTACTATGTGGGATATAGTTCCTGCAGAGAAGGCTGCCAAGCGCGAGCAAGAGCTTAAAGACACTCCGGAATTCTGGGGCTGGATGCTCTCAAAGGGCAGTTCGATTCATCGATACAACAACACGGCGGAATCTGCTAGAGAGATCATACTCTCGTTGGCCGGCCACAATGCGCCTATAGCCACCGATCTTCAAAAACAGATGGTCGACGAAGGGAAGAGTCTGGACGAGACTTCTGCCGGCCAAGGACTCAAGAGCGAGCTTCTAAAAGAGCGACAGAAGTTAACCAAAGAGCGCCAGGACCTTCAAGCACTGATAAAAGAGGCAAAGAAAGAACACGACGTTGACACGGAAGAGGCTCTACAAGAAGAGAGTGACAGATACGCAGTCTTGATAAAAAGAGCCGAAGAGAGTGCCAAAGCTTTAAAGATCACCATGGAAAATCTCATCGCCAAGCGAGATTTGCGCGTGGCAGAGATGACCAAGGAGATAAGAGAAGTCCAGACCGAGTACGAGACTAACTTCAGGCTGATGACATTGGAGAAAATCAAACTGAACAAGGAGAAAGTGGAGTTAGAGAATCGACAAAAGCAACGGCAAGGAAAATCGGGCTCAAAGGCAGCGGCCAGTACCCAGGAAGCTGACCCAGGACTGCCTGGACAACGTCCAGAGGCGGGAGAGGGAGATATCCCTGCCGCGAAGATTGGAGTATCGGTTTCTATGAGCAAGTCTTTCTACATCTTGCAGAGCCCTCTTTGCTGGAGTTGGTAAGTGAACTCGAATCCTTTATGGAAATAGCTAATGAAATGATTGAAAGCAACGAGGTGGAACTGCAGGAGTTCCATAATGGCAAACGCATGGAACTTGGATGTTTGAGCGCAGTTAGCGACCAAAGGACAGCATGGATCGCTCGTTATGACACCAACGACTGGAGTAAGACATTGAGAGAGATAACAAAACGTGGAAATACTAACATTTAAAAGGATGGTCTGCGGGATTTGAACGACATTACCCCTTCCTAGCCAAGTGTATCAAATCTTACGGCCTTGATGCGGTCAAGCTGTGTGCACTTGGCCCCACCTACCATTACTACACCAGATGGAAAGAGTTTCGTTTGTACAACTGTTCAGAAACGTTCTCCAGGACGATAAAAAAGATAAAAAACAGCAACTGTTGGGTCAAGGCAGTGTGTTTTGGCTACGGAAGCTCGTTCCTCGTCTCTTATGGTTTTGAGCATGGCCACCTTGGCTGGACACATGACCTCTAGGGCTTCTACCCAAGTCTGAATCGATTTCTCAACAGCCAGAAGAAATTGGGGAATAAAATCAGCATACATGTAAGCTAAAGAAACATCAGTGGTATGCTTGGTACTTACATCGGTGTAGGCTGCGACACTCGATCCCTTTAGTAGAACCGATTACCTTGTTGTCTTTACAGATAATGAGGGAATGGACAGTAGCAAACTAAAGTACAAAATGCACTGTTCGAACAGGGCTACCCGCCGGGCAGTTGAAAAATGGTGGGAGGTGACGAAAGGGCGTCTAGTGCCTCGTCAACGATAATGCTAATTGCAATTAATGTTTTGGCTTTTGGAACCGTATCATATTCGTATAGAATACGCAATGCCGAAGGTATAATTAAAACTCTATTACAAAGGATAAATAGAAATGGTTCATCTCGTGGCGATTTACCTTTGCGCCCCCAAGTCAAAATGTACAGATTGTTTTCTAAAGTATGATGTCTACCGTGATATAAGAATCAACTTTCCCCTCTTGATATCTCGTGTATACTTCCATATATACAGGGCATTGATGCGATTGACAAAGCAAATCTTCACCAATTAACCGTGGAAACCTTCTCGATAGGGTGACGACAATTTCACGATTGAACAATGCCTGCAGCAACTATGGAACCCATCCCAGAAACGTCCCATGAGACACAAGAAGGCGTGCCAGATCTCACCACTCGGTCATATTTGATGTTCTTCCTAATGTCACTCGGTGGCGCGTTAGTCTATCTTAACATCAGAGAGAACTTCAACATTGCATTCTTCCTGGGTGCGAGTGCTATATTTCTTATAGTCGCCACTACTGGCTCCACGAGACGAAATAAGGCCAAATGGTGATTGGAAAGCTCGCAACACTCAATTCCTCAGTCCTGCTTCGAGTCCTTCTCGGGAGAGTTCGCCACTGCATCTATTCTGGTCACCATTTTTCATACATGGTTTTATACAACGCATCGCAAAACAGCGTGATGGCTCTCGACCCAGCTTCAAGCACCGCATCCATCGCAATAAACGGATGAGGCTGGCCCTTCATGACATTCAGCTCCGCCTTGACACCTGCATCCTGCAACTTCTTCGCAAATTGCTCACCCTCCGACCTGAGTACATCCAGTTCACCGACGACAAAACAAGCTGGCGGCAACTTTGAGAAGTCTCCATTCCAGAAGATCGGGCTAGCTTCAGGATGCGCCCAGTCTTCCTTGTTGGGTAGATAGTGGTTTCGGTACCAGAGCATTTTGGGAGCCGGAAGGGCAGGGGAGTGTTGGTTTTCTTTCCATGAGACATTGTTGGTTATATCAGCGGTATTGTCCATCACGGGGACGGATAGGAGTTGGAGGGAAAATTTGGGGGATCCTCGATCAGCTGCTCGTTGACACATTATAGCAGCCAAGTTTGCACCAGCAGAAGAACCGCCTGTATGATCCAATTAGTATAAATCGCCGCATCCCAATCTAATTTTTCTCACCTGTCGCTAGCTTCGAGGTGTCCAACCCAAGGATCTCTTTACCCGCGCCCATAACCCAAAGAACAGCCTCCCAAGAATCATGCACCGACGCAGGAAATGGGTCCTCAGGCGCCAGCCTGTAATCAACAGCCACGACGACACATTTGCCTCTCGCACAGAGATGTGACGCGATGACATTCTCAGTATCTATCGTGCCGAGAACCCAACCGCCACCGTGGTAGTAAATACACACAGGCCATCCTTGTTCTGGCTTGTCGCCAATGGGAGTGAAGCATCGAACCTTGACATCAGGTCCTTCGCTCTCTGTGCGTTTGATGGCGTAGTCGATTGTACTTGCGACAGGCTGAAGAGGACCGCTACCTGGAATGAGGATGCCACTGCTTCGTGATGCTTCTACTGGTTGGAGGTGCACTTGCTGCTTGTCGATGATGTGCTTGTTGTAAAATGCTGCATATTCGGGGTCAATCCTATCAAGGACTGACTCGTGCAGAGGATAAGGTGGCTGATTGCTCATGTTGCAAAGTTTTTATCTTAACTAGAGAATAATTCGTGGTTGAAGCGTCAATCTGATAATACGCCGGTGGCTGTTGTGAGTGACGATGGTGTCTTTAAGCTTCGGGGGTTTATTTCGCACCGGCCCTTTTGCGCGGGTTTCCGAAATCGGGCATCCGGTGGAACCTCTACAGTCCGTGGTGGTAGCTTGCACTGGGTCGGATCGTCGCTCTACGTTACATGGAGGGAGCACCAACCTCGTGTGAGATGGTAACCTACGCTTATGATGGTAACACTGTGTTTCGAGTCAGCTGCAATCATGATTGCAGGGTATCGCTATCTTGATAGGTCCTTTGAGTATGTAACCTCCGAATCTAAGCCCTTGCAACCTGTATCTTGCCTCCCCCGCATACCCAGTCTCATGCCAGGTTGAGATAACGAACTTGATATCAAACATTGTACAAAAGTTTGAACTGCCCTTCCTGTTTCTTCATCTGGACGCTTTTCGGTAGCATCTGCAAACAAGTCGCAGTCAATTTGGGCTGCCATTAACTGACAATTCGACGCCATGGACACCAAAGATCACAAAGATGATGGCATCATCGACGACACCTACGCCGAAGGCACTGGTGAAGAGACGGTTCTTGAAGTTGACCATATCGCTGAGCGTCAACTCTGTCGCAAGTTTGACGTCCGATTGATGCCCGTTCTGGCCATCATGTGTAAGACGCTTCACCTCACAGTTCACCAACTCGTCTAACCATCTACAGATCTCTTTAACGCTCTTGACAAAGGCAACCTAGGCAACGCCCAAACCGTCGGTCTCAGCGACGGTAAGCCATCCAGCTACCTATCATGTCACAAACTAACCCGCGACAGATCTCAACTTCAAGCCAAACCAGTACAACCTCCTCGTATCAATCTTCTTCGTGCCCTACGTCATCTTCGCTCCTCCCACCGCCATCATCGGCAAGAAGTACGGTCCTGCGCGAGTCCTCCCGATTCTCATGTTTACGTTTGGATCCATGACTCTTCTTGCTGCTTGTACGCAAAACTTTGGTGGCATGTTTGCGCTGCGCTTCTTTCTTGGCATGGCAGAGTCTGGCTTCTTTCCATTGGTGATTTATTATCTGACTACGTTTTATCGAAGAGGTGAACTTGCGCGTCGTTTGGCGGTATTCTACGCTGCGTCCAACATCGCGAATGCTTTTGTATGTTGCCTCTGGTACAAACACGAGGTCTTTGGCTAATGACAACAGAGCGGTCTTTTATCATTTGGCGTCTTTCAAATCGACTCCAAAATCTTCGTCTGGCGATATCTCTTCATCATTGAAGGCTCAGCTTCAGTGCTCTTCTCAATCTTTGCATTCTGGTACCTCCCTCGCAGTGCAGCGCAGGCCAAGTTTCTCGGTGAAGAAGAAAAAGCGCTGGCTTTTCACCGAATGCAAGTTGATTCCTCGTCTGTTGTGCAAGAAAAGTTCAACTTTAAGGATTCGATCAAGATCTTTACGTATCCGACGACGTATTGCTTTTTGCTGATTGAGATTTGTCTTGGTGTGCCGATTCAATCGGTTGCGCTGTTTATGCCCCAGATCATCCAGCGACTGGGATATGGACCTGTCAAGACGAATCTTTACACTGGTAGGTCAATTCGGGATGCGCGTATCTTCTTTTACTGATGCGGTATTCTTAGTCGCGCCAAATGTTGGCGGTGCTGTGATGCTTCTCATCTTGGCCTTCAGCTCTGATTTTCTACGTATTCGATTCCCGTTCATCATGCTCGGATTCGCCCTCACGTTCATCGGCTTCATCATCTACGCCGCCATCTCCGACGTCCAAGCTCAACTACAATTAGCATACTACGCATGCTTCATGATGGTCTGGGGAACATCAGCTCCCTCCGTCCTCTTATCAACATGGTATAACAATAATATTGCACACGAGGGCAGAAGGGTAGTCCTCACGTCAGTCGGCGTCCCACTCGCCAATCTGATGGGTCTCGTATCAAGCAACATCTTCCGCGAGAACGAGAAGCCAAAGTACCCCACAGCTCTTATCACGACTGCTTGTTTCGGCGCATGTGGATGCCTCATTGCGGGTCTTCTTGGTGGGTATATGGTGTTTGATAACATGCGGAGGAATCGTAGAGCAGGGAGGAAGACGACGGCTGCTGATGTACCGACGAAGCGTCTGCGCGATGGGCCAGCGGTTCCCGAGTTTCGCTGGTTTCTGTGAGGGAGAGTTAGTGGGTTTGGGCTGCAACAGGGCAAGATCAGCACCCCGCAGTGGATTTAGGAGGAGCGGGGAAAATAACGCACTGTGTCGTGTCTGTATTGTACTACGTTACCTTGAACTGACGATCCTGGTCTTGGAGATAACGATAAACGAAGGGGCCCAGAATTGGAGCCGAGAGATATCTCAAGTGCTGTACGAGTTAGCAACATTTTTTGTTTGTCTGCCGTATCATTTCCATCATCATCACCGCCATCATGTACTCTCCCAAAGTAGGCGACAGCCTCGACTCGCTCGACACGCCCTCCATGATCGTCGATCTCGATATCATGGAGGCCAATATCAAGAAACTCATGGACCGACTACTCCCAACTGGTCGCAACATCAGACCCCATCTCAAGACTAGTAAGAGCGCTATCGTGGCCAAGAAGCTCGTCGCGGCTGGTGCAAAAGGTGGTTGCGTCGCGAAGCTGAGTGAGGCCGAGGCAATTGCCGCCGCTGGCTTTACGGACCTTCTCATCACTTGCGAGATCGTCGGACCGGCCAAAGTCAAGAGACTTGTTGAGCTGTTCAGAAAGCATCGGGAGATTAGAATCGTGGTGGACGATGAGAGAGCTGCTACGGCTATCAACGACGCGCTGGAAAAGTCGGGAATTGAGGACCCAATCTCAGTCTTGATAGACTTGGATGTCGGACTGCATCGCACAGGAACACAGTCCGAAGGAGCTCTGCCTCTAGCGAAGCATATCAGCAGTCTGAAGCGCATGCGACTCATCGGAGTGCAAGGCTATGA